TCCCCAGGAAATTAAGCACGAAGGAACTAAGGAATAAGATTTTATCAATTAGGGTCCAGCCACAGACCGTTTAATTTTTAACTTACTGTCCTTGTTGGGAATACATGTATTAGACCAGGGTTTGCCAATCCTGGAACTGTTGATATCTAGGGCCAGATAAATTTTTGTCATTGGGAGCTGACTCATACACATAGTGTGACGTTTGTGCCAAGCTGAATAGAGTACCCCTGGTCTCTACTCACTAGATCCTGGTAGCACTATCCCCAGCCAGCCGGGATGATCAAAAATATCTCCAGACATTGCCAGTTGTCTCCTGGGGGGCAAGCATGGCCCCCATCTGAGAACCACTGCAGCAGGAGAGGTACATCAAGGTGGAAGTAAGAATGGAATTTTTAATAAAATGCAGGAAAAACTATTTTTAAAACAGGAACTGAGGGGAAAGCCAGGGAAAAGAAGGTGAAATGCAAAGACAATAGCAACAGTGAAGTGGGAAAGGCATGGCTGTGTGGGGGCAGTGGTTGCGAAATCAAACCCACTGTCTTGTCCTGGAAGCAGACCCAGTGATCTCACCTCCTTGTCAGTTCTGCCCCCTCTGCCCTCAGGGCTCCCAACATGTTGAGGGTCTGATGGCAGTTTGCTCACTTATGTTTTATTTATAAATCTGCACATTGGTTTCTTGACTTTTAATCATTAGCTCTGCTTCTTTTAGTTGCAGATTCTTGGGGAAATACTGGCAGAGCTTGTCCTGGTTTGGGTTGAGTTGCTAGGCAACCAGACCCTGATATATAGCTGGAATTACTGAAGTGTTTGCCAACCCCTTTCATAATCAATAACACTCATCTCCTCCTAATTGATTCTCAACGACTGAAGGATGATGTAGACCATTCGTTTATAAACAGCCCCACACACAAACACACACAAACTACAATTGTGTTAGAATCTTTTTGAGATATATTTATAAGAATTTATTTTAAAAAGAACTTCTCCAGTTAAAATTAAAATATTGAGGGGCTGGTATTGTGGCTCAGTGGTAAAGCGTTCACCTAGCATGGGTGAGGCCCTGGGTTCGATCCTCAGCACCATGTAAAGATAAATAAATAAAATAAAGGTATTGTGTCCATCTACAAAAAAAAATTAAAAATTAAAACATTAAATTTTTTATCTTTTAGGGACAGTTAGTGACATCCTAGAACCCTAATTTATATTCAACAGTGAGCAAAGAGCTAGAGGTATAAGAACAGATACAAATCAAATACTGTACATTCACTGTATTACATCTTATCTCAAGGAATTGTGTTGATTTAAGCAATACAATTTAAAATCAGCTATCCAGATGGTTTTTATATTAGGATACCCCTGTCCTGATGACAGGCCACTTAAGAACAGGTATCAATAGCTTAGCATCACCAACAACAGCTCAGTTTAGATTTGTAGGTTTAGATTTCATCCCCACCTATAATAGCTGGGGAAGACTGAAAAGATTTAGTAAAATACAGCAGAAATGTGTAAGAAATAAGAGCCAAAAGAAATGGATTAAAGAATGTTGACTTGTTTTTATCAAAGGGAAAGAACAAGAGATGATTTAATTCAGAAAAAGGAGGAAGATAGCTAACTGTTTAATTTTAGACATCATGAATCCCATAAACATTGAACATTTATAGCTAGAGTAGAAAGCTACTGTTTAGCCCCAAATATTATTTGTTCTCTTTTCTTCTATGGTAATGAAATTTTAAGCTGGATCGATAGCCATGAAGAATAAACACTACATTTTCTAGCCACCTTGTATGAAGTCTTTTACCTAAGTTCTGGTTATTGAGATAAAATTTTTGGAGTGGACTTTGAGACTTTCTTTATTGAGGCCTATTAACTATACAGAACAGTGGGTTTCACTGTAGCCTATTCAAACCCACATGTAACATGATTGGGTCAATTCTACTCCCTTTTTCTCTTCCCCTCCCTCTACACCAATGGTCTCTCCTACACATTCATGACTTCCTTTTTGGTCCTTGACTTTGGGACATTTTTTTCTCTGCTTCTTTTCTCCTTGCTGCTGACTGGAGGATAGAATAGCAGCTGGAACAGGAGCAACTTTATTGGAATTTCAGGTGACATTGGGAACGAAGGATACTAAGAACAGAATCCCAAGATGAAAGGAGCTTTGCTCCCTACAGGCATAGCATGCCAACCCACTGCACCTGCTGAGAGTCATAGCCAAGTTGGAAATGACGCGTGGCATTTTTGGGGTGAAATTGTTCAGAAAGATGACCCTGCTCAGGGATTAGGGTGGCTCCAGGTTTAGGGTGGATCAGCTGGGAATAGGGCGTATCCTGCTGCCTCAGGTGCCCTCTCCTTGAGTTCCCATTGAGTTCTCCCGGGGTTCTGAGAGAATTGGTACGCAGAGCCCTGTGGAGGGAGTGTATTTTTTCCCAGAACGTGCGTGTAGAGCAGGTGATAGTCGGGAATAAAGAGTTACTGTTGGAATCTACAAGTTTGTGTGGTGGCTCGGTTATTTTGTGCCCAGCCAGACTGCGGCATGCACCAAACTCCCTCCCTAAGATAAACAAAATTAAAAATTAAAAAATCCCTACATAAGATAAACAAAATTCTCATCTGTTTGAACTTACATGATTTAGAATTTTTCTGTCACTCTCAGCTTTATCTAGTCTTAAATAATAAGTCTGGATAATGGCCCTTATCATCTTCTCTAGACAAGAAAATTGAGGCTCAGAATTGTTTTTAAAAAACAAAACAAAACAAAAAACAGAGTAGTTAACATAGGAAGTTTTTTTTTTTGCCAAATGCCACAGCCCATGCACTTTGTAGTATAACTGTGTTTAAATTACCATATAAATTTAGAGCTGGACAGTAGAATGAAGCTTATTACAACTGTTGTCCATTTGGGGGACAAAAGGACATAGGTTCAAAAGGACTCACTGTAGGAGTGTGGGAAACCTATCTTATTGCCTGATCTCTAATTAGGAGAAGTTAGTTCCATCATTGAATTTGTATCTGTGGCTTAAATATAGACCTGCCAAGCAAGAGGAATGACCCATATTTATTCAATCATCTTCACACAGATGTGTAACAAGCATCTTCTGACTGCTAGGCCCTCTTCTCACACTGGGGAGAGAGCAATGGACAAAGCACAAAAACTCTTGCCTTTATGCATTTATTTTTTTTCCCAGTGGAAATAGGTAGACAATATATAAAATAATATTCAACTGATAATAGGTGGTGGTAATTGTTATCAAGACAACTAAAGCAAGAAAGGGAGATGGGGAGGGTGCCAGCGGTAATACTGAGAGAGAAGGAGGTTGTATTGTTTCTGCTTTTTTAAAAAAATTTTGTGGCACTAGCAACTGAACTTAGGGCCTTTTGCTTGCCAGGCAAGTGCGCTACCACTGAGCAACATTCTGAATTTTATACAAAATATTAGGGGAAGGCCTCACTGTGAAGGTGATACTGGAGTCAAAAACCCAAAGCCGGTGAAGAAGGGAACAAGTTGGAACTTGAACTCATACCACACACAAAAATTAATTTGTAATTAATTATATATCTTATATCTTATAAGGTATCTTATAAGATATTGAATAAGATAAGAGTCCACGAGTTCATACTGATATAAATAATTACATAATTTATTAATAAATGACGGAGAAGAGAAAGCTCTTCTATATAGAATACTGGCAACTAATACAGGTAGAAGGAATGGTGGAATTAGAAAGTCATCAATGGGAACTAAAATCATTGCTTGAAATTTAGTGAGGAAAAACGTATTTATATAGTTTTAAAACATCTCCCCATAAAGAATATACTGATTATAAGGGGAGAGAAATAACATTGAAAAATCACATAGCTACTACTTTAATCAAGTGATCAAGGTTCAGTAGAAAATGTGTGTGCATGTATTTGAGTGTGTTTGTGTGGGTGTGTTTGCGTAAGTATTTGAGAGAAGAAAAAAATATGAGAGAGAATGATAAAGCAATTAGAGGAAAATGTAACACATTGATGCATCTGGGTAAGGGGGATTTGGAGGTTCTTTGCATTATTATGGAAACTTTATACGTTTGAAGTTACACTGAAATAAAAGAAAATGATGGCAGCTTGAACCACAGTGGTAGTGGTTTATGTCATAAGAAACAGTCAGATTTCTGAATATATTTTGAAAGTAGAAACAAAAGAATTTGCTGATGGATTGGCAATGGCTTGAGAAAGTAGAGAGCCTACAAGAGGATCCAAGATTGGAGATCAAAGCAATTGGAAGGAAGAAGTAAGCATTTATTAAGATGGGGAAACTGTGGGTGGAGGGCTGGGGATGTGGCTCAAGCAGTAGCGCGGTTGCCTGGCATGCATGCGGCCCGGGTTCGATCCTCAGCACCACATACAAACAAAGATGTTGTGTCTGCCGAAAACTAAAAATAAATAAATAAATAAATATTAAAATTAAAAAAAAAAAAAACTGTGGGTGGAGAAAGTTTGTAGAGGTGGACATCAGGAATTTTTTTTTGGAACTTAAGAAGTTAGAAAAGTATATTAGCTATCCAAGCAGAGCTGTCCAGCAGGCCGAATATATATGTGGAGTTTAAGGATGAGAAATCTGGACAGCAGATATAAACTTGGTAGTTATCTGTTTATTTAAAGCCATGATGAGGGGCTGGGGTTGTGGCTCAGTAGTAGAGCACTTGCCTGGCATGTGTGAGGCACTGGATTCGATCCCCGGCACCACATAAAAATAAACAAATAAAATAAAGGTATTGTGTCCATCTACAACTAAAAAAATTTTTAAAAAGTAATAAAGCCATGATGACATAGGAAATTAATATAGAAGACTGACATTTTGAGCATTTTTGACTTTTTGATGAAGACCTTTCTCTCTAAATATATTAACAGCATGAAACCCACTGTATAGACTTAGATGTTTGCATATTCATGGAGCAATTCAATATGTCCCAGTCTGATTTATTCACCTACATTTCAAAAGACCAGCATTTATTGAATACCTTCTGTATGCAAGGCACCATCTCCATGTACTATGGCGCAAGCATCCATATACAAGCATCCATATGTCCAAAAGATTCCACCTAGGTGATATAAAATAATAGGTACCATAAATAAACAATCCAGAGTCATGTATCATAGAAACCATTGCCCTGATACATTACAGATGTTTTAGGTAATATTAAGCAATGCCTTTGCAAGAGAAAACACATAACTTTATTTTCTCACCACTTCTGCAAGGCCAAGGGACAAAGCTTATCACAGTTTTGTTTACTTATTTTTTAAAAATAACCCTACTGCTCATGAAAGGTTACAATAAATTGGAGGAAATTTAACCCCAAGTCCCTGGAAGTGAATTTTCTGTTAAATCAACCCAGGGCTTCTGTGAAGCATTGCTTTCCCAAACTGAACAGTTATGGAAATATTTACTTGAATTTGTGGTTGTTTTGTCTTCTTTATCTTTTCTTTTTAATTTTGTTGTAAGATAAAACACTAATACAGAAAACCACACAAAACAATGTATAGCTTAGTGAATTATTATAAAGTCAAGCCCTCCAGGGTCATTAACAGAACTTCAATCACCAGTCACCCCAGATGCCCCAAAACAATCCCAACCCTTCTCTTCCTCTTAAGGAACCGGACTTGTCTCTCTAGTCTTTATATTTCCTGCAAGTTGGAAACTACATCTAGAGATGAGGTCAGACTCTGGTTCCATCCCCTTCTCAAATCTATAGGAGGTGTTTTTAAAGACAATAGAGGCACATAATATCTAGTTGCCTCTCTTCTTGTGATTTTAGAAACTTTTGATGCTTATGCCTATAGTCACTCATTGGATGTTGCAAAGTGGTGACATTCTAATTCTATCATTTCTTTTTCATTTATTGCTTGGATTACTTTCATACAGACTTGTCTCCTTGTTCAATATTTGGTTATACAATGGAACAATTCATATAACTAAGGGAGGATAAATGCTTGATTCTTTAGGATAATGATTTGGTTTCTCATCATCCTCCCAAATTAGTCATTACTGTTCATATTGTTATGAAACCATGGACTTAAACATATTTGATGAATTTTATTTCATTGCAATTATCCTACTAACTCAAAATTTTCCATCTTGGGCCAGGGAGCACCTCTTAAAGTTGATTCCTGAATCCTTTAGGCATAATTCTAGTAGTTGTTAACAGTGTCTTTGCCATCTGTGTGACAGACATTCCAGGGTCTTGTTCATTGCCTGTCTTACGCCTGGCGTCACTACAAGACCTGGCCCCTTGTGGTGATGAATGGGATCGCAAGACCACAATGTGGATGCTAGTAATGCTCATTGCTATTGTGTAGGTTATTTCTAGGTCTTTGCAGTAGATATGTCTTTAAATAAAATAAGATAAAGTACCTCATGGGTTTGTATTAATTCCATTCAGTTTTGATTTTTATCTTTTATTACTTCAGTGTCACCTTCTTCCCTATAAAGAATCCGGATTCACAAGAACAAAGGGAAGGATAGAATTGAATATCTCATAATGATTTATTTATTCTGTTCCATATAATACACATAACAGAAGAACAATATTAAGACCAATTCTAATAGGATCAATGAAATTATTCCCCCTCTCCACTTTAAACAATTACTCAGTAGTTATACTATCAGAGGGCACAGCCACAAGCATTCTTTCTTACTTCTAGGGAGCTGACATGCTTGATGCTTGCAACAATCATTATATCAGTCAATATTTGCATCATTGCTTTTTCATATGAAACTCACTTTACAGATTTCTCAGGAGGGATTCATGAACACAATATTCCCTGGGTTCTCTCTGTGCCCATGTAACTCGAAGATTATGCTGGATATAAAATCTTTGGTTTGGGGCTGGGGATGTGGCTCAAGCGGTAGCGTGCTCTCCTGGCATGCATGTGGCCCGGGTTCGAGCCTCAGCACCACATACAAACAAAGATGTTGTGTCCACCAATAACTAAAAAATAAAATATATAAAAAAATTTAAAAAAATCTTTGGTTTACACTTGTTTCCTTGGCAATCTTAGATATGTTACTCCACAGTTTTCTTTCAAAGAACATTAATGTCAAAAATTATAATAATTTAATTTCCCTAACCTTGTAGATCACACATTCCTCTCCTCTATATTTTCAAGGAATATCTTCTTTTTCTTTAAATTTGAATGAGTTTTCTAGATTACATCTTGGATATATTCTAGAATATTGATACCCTAGAATCAACATTCTCAGGATAGGTGTTCATTCAATATCTAAATTCAAATCTGTTTTTGTTTTTAATTTTAGGAAAGTTCTCATATTATGTTCTGTCTTATTTGACTATCTTGTCATGTTCTCTCAAGTCCTTTGTCTATTTATTTCCTTTCACTCCTTTATTTTAAAAATATTTTCTGTTCATTATTTTTTTAATTTTTAAATAATTTCAGGCTGTCAAATAAATTACAAAAACTAGTACAAAGAACACTTTTCTACTGTTCACCCAGTTTCCCCAAATGTTAACATCTTACATCTTCATAGTACAATGATCAAAGTCAGGAAATTAACACTGTTATAACTTTATTATCTAGTCTCCAGAACCTTATTCAAATTTTGTCAGTTGTTCCACTACAGTTCTTTTCCGCATCCAGGCTCCAGCCAATATCACACACTGCATTTATTCAGTGGCCATTTATTCAGTGGCCGCTGTGGTCTTCTTTAGCTTGAACAGCTCTTCTGTCTTTCTTTATCATCTATATTTTTTAAAAGGGTTGATCAGTTGAAATGTACACTGTCCCTCAATTTGAGCTGATCTGATGTTTCCTCAGGATTAAATCTAAGGCAGAGCCTCTCAATTTCAGCACTATTTATATTTTGGTCAAATAATTCTTTGTGGTAGGAGGATGTCCTCTGCATGTCATTGACTGCATGCCAACAGCATCCTTGGCATTTATGTACTCCAGTCTTGAGAATCAAGAATATCTCCAGAAAGAGTATTTAAAAAAAAATGATGCTAGGAAAACTGTATATCCATATGTAGAAAAATGAAACTTGATCCCTCTCTCTCACCCTGCACAAAAATCAACTCAAAATAGATCAAAGACCTAGGAATTAAGCAAGAACCACTGCAATCACTAGAAGACAACATAGAACCTACTCTCCAACATACTGGATCAGATACTGACTTTAATAAGACTCCTGATGCTGAAGAAACAAAACCAAGAATCAATAAGTGAGATGGCTTTAAGTTAAAATCTTGTGCACAACTTTTAAAGGAAAGGAAACTATTAAGAGGATAAAGAAAGAGCCTGCAGAATGGGAAAAAATCTTCACCAGCTACTCTTCCAGCAAGTAACCAGAATATGTAGAGAACTCAACACACTTAACAACAAAAACCTCATAAATAACCCAGTCAATAAATGGGCAAATGAACTAAACACACATTTCTCAAAAGAAATGTAAGTGGCCAATAAATATGTGAAAAAATATTCAACATCCTTAGCAATCATAGAAATGCAAATCAGAATTACACTGAGATTTCATCTCTCATTCCAGTTAGAATGGCAATCAAAAATATAAGTAATGATAAATATTGGCAAGGATATGAGGGGAAAGGTACACTTATACATTGTTGCTGGGACAGTGAATTAGTACAACCACCTTGGAAAGCACTTTGGAGATTCCTCAGAAGACAAGGAATGAACCCAGCTATCCCACTCCTTGGTATTTATAAAAAACAAACCAACAAACCCCTAAAATCAGCATTCTAGAGTGAAACTTGCATGCCAATGTTCACAGAAGCACAGTTCACAATAGGCAAGTTATAGCATCAGCCCAGTGTCCCCCAATAGGTGAGTAAAGAAAATATATACACAACGGAGTTTTACTCAACCATAAAGAATGAAATTATGTCATTTACTGGTAAATGGGTGGAACTGGAGAACATCATGCTGAGTAAAATAAGCAGATGCAAAAAGTCAAGGGTTGAATGTTCAATTCGCTTATATGTGGAGAGAAGGAATTTTTTAAAAAATCTGGGGGCAGGTAAGTCTTATGAAAATAGAAGGGGGAACAGTGGAGTAGAGGAAGGTGAACAAAGGGGATGGAGGAGGGATGGGAAAGGGGAGGAACTCAGAAGGAAATTAACCAAATTATTTCGTGTGCATATATGAGCACATCACAATGAATTCCACTTTTACATATAAATATAATGCACCAATTACAAATAAATTTAAAAACATTAAAGCATAAATAAAAAAAATGTCTCCAGAAGTTTTTGGATGTTTCCTTGATATAGGAGGGAAATCAATCCAGTAAGAAGCACTGATTTAGGTTATCTATTTTTGGCAAAGATAATATAGAAGCAGTATGTGTGTCCTTCTGATAACACCATATCAGGAGGCATAATTAGCACTATTACTGGTAATGTTAACTGTAATTACTTGGTTAAGGTGATTCTGCCAGATTTCCTTATTATAAATGTGATATTTCCCCTTTATTAATAACATGTGTCAAGTATAATTATACAAATATTCTGCTTCTCATTGTATATTCACCTACTAATTTTGGAATCCATTGGTGATTTTTTCCTGAAGCAATTATTATTATAGTTTGCCAACATTTCCTCCTACATTTATTATTTTTACTTCTACTTTAAGAGTTTTCCTTTTCCCTCCATTTATTTCTTCATTCAATTAAATGTTTATAGTAGTAAGAACTAATGCATTCTCTTTTTTAAAAATTTATTGCCATCATTATTTATTTTGCTACTCAAATGGTCCCAGGTATGTCCATTCTGAGATACCTGATATTAGCTGTTTTGTTGTTGTTAACTTTGCTACTTTTTTTGATATGTAAAGTGCAACCCAAGTAACAAGACAATTTCCAATCCTCTTGTTGAATTGTTGCCTCCAAATATCCTGGGTGAACATTCTGGAGCCACCCTGATGCCAGGACTTTGGATCTGGACTTTAATTAATAGAGGATAATGATTTTTATACTCTTATTAAGAAAAACAATAAAAAAAGGCAAGAGTGAGTTAATATGTCTTCGTATCAGAAAATATCACTCTGAGAAAGGCTGAAATTTGTAGATTGG